AAACTCAATGAAGACGCGTATCGTAATAAGGATCTCTTCCTGCCCTACGGTACACAGACCTTCATCGCAACCACACAAACAAAGCGCTGTCGCCAAATTCCCAAGAAACAACAGCTCTCCGTACGACGTTTGCAAAGACAAGCAGCTGCGCCGATCATCGAAAGCTCACAACCCTGCAACGACCTATCATCCGAGTTTCGGGAACTATTGAGACAAGTGAACACAGACCCTTGGCGATACATCAACCTCGGAATCCCAGACCTTGAAGGCGCAGAAGCAGCGAAAGCTGCTAACCAGGCCACCACGCATTTTCTAGATACAGTACAGCTCGTCAATAGAAGATTGTCTGTGACATTGCCATGGAACAACAAAGCAGCGCTTTTGCCTACAAACAAGGATTTGGCCATTTCCAGTGCATTCACTACGTTGAGGAAGTTCTTGAGCAATCCAGAACTTCTTCGCAGTTACGACAAGCTTCTCTCGAAACAGCTCGCCAATGGTATCATCGAACGTGTGCCCAGACTCGATAATACGTCCGCTCCAGCCCAGATACATTATTTATTGCACCACCCAGTCTTCCCTACAGCATCTCGCGGAATTCAGTTCGTTTGCGACGGTAACGCGAAACTGACAGGACATCCTTCGTTGAATGACAAGTTACACCCAGGCCCTTCCCTCACTACACCGCTCTTGAATGTGCTGCTGAGAGCCAGGACGTACCGAAATCTTCTGATCAGTCGGCTCGACAACTCCTGCAACCAGTTAGCGCTCCACAAGGATGATCGTGATGCGGCAAGGCTCATATGGTTCAAAACAGACGTTCTCCAACGAATTTTCTCCTCTCCAGATCCGTCCGGAGCAATCGAGCTCGAATACACCCAGAACTCCTTTTCCGACCTCACAGAATACAGGTTTTGCCGGGTGCCTTATGGCCTAACCAGTTCGTCATTTCTGCTCTCTGCATCTATCCAGTACCACGTCAGCGAAGCAGATATCCCAGAGCAATTGAAGCACAACTTACTCCAGAACTACTTTTTGGATAAAGTCACATTGGGCTTCAAACAACTCGACGACGCAATGGAATTGTACCAGGATGCAAAGAACTTATTCCACCAGATCTCCATGGATCTTTGCGGTTTCAGTTCCAATTCAGCCTCCGTCCTGCGACAGTTGCCAGCAGCAGACCGAATGGATACAAAGCTCAGGGAATTGCATGGCTTGAGGTGGAACACAGAAGCAGACCAGATCAACGTGATTGGACTGAGCAAGTCATTCACCCAGACCATCTTCGATACGGAATCCAAACCCAGCAAAGTCGAGTGGACGAAACAGGAAGTTTTCGGTGTGGTCGCGACCATTTTCGACCCACTGGGATTCTTGGCGCCGTTCACTCTACAGATGCGACTTTTGATCCAGGATATTTGGCGACAAGTATTCAATTGGCGCGACCGCATCCCAGACCTGCTCACACAACGCTGGCTTATGCTCATTTCCCAGTTCGTCGCAATACAAGGAAAAGTTGTCATTCCTAGAGTGGCAATCTTGACACAGGACGAAGAACGTTTCTTCAGCGACCCGCAAGTCATCGTTCACGTGTTCACAGGAACTTCGGCTTCTGCGATATGTGTCGCGGTTTACTTACAGTCGGCCCATGAACCAGATCGCGCACTCGGCGCTCAGTTGCTACTTTCTAAGTCTCGGCTTGCTCCCCTCAGAGGCACTCCTCCATCGCCACCAAAACAGAAACTTCTTGGTTTAAATCTTGGGATGGAGTTGGCCGAACAGGTTGTCCATGCAATCCAGAGCTGCGTCAGAATTCAGAGCGTCCAGTTCTATTCTGATTCCCGCCCAACTCTATCACAGATCGCCTCCAAGGAGCAAGCACACACAGTCCTCTATGTACGCCACCGAGTCAAGGAGTTTCGCGAGGGTCTATACCGACTGCAAGAAAACTACAATGTCCAGGTCCGACATGTCCCTAATGCTCTCAACACCGCCGATCTCGGGACCAGAGCACCAGCATCACTCGACAAGACTGTTCAGACAGGGTGGTTCACTGGACCCTCCTTTTTGTCACAGCCTTCCAGTCACTGGCCCGCGTCGTTGCAAAAACAGTACACCATTCCGCCTTGTGATCCAGAGCTACAGGAAGCCGTTTCAAAACCAGCTACAGCTGCGGTCAGGATGGTTCCCCAAAAGAAGTCGAAGACATCCAAGAAAAAGCTGACCTAAGCTCCGGCAAAAACCCCATCCCAGAGCCTTTACGAACATTTGCCTTAAATCCAGAATTGATCGCAACGTTTGTGGTAGTTCCTGCCACACAGCGCGCCTTCAAAATTGTTTTACAACCAGGTGTCGCAGGAGGACTTCGTGGTATTCTGTTCCACCCAGCTCGCCCTGCGCCCGCTTACACACAGAGCTTGTTTCTAAGCAATCGAATTACACCCAGTATCGGTAATAAGGCTTTTGTGGTAACTTTTCCACACAGCCCGCTTTAACTTCGCCTTACCCTCAGAAATTAGTTGCCTTACAATCAGTGTTGACAGGAGGGCTTCGTGGTAGTTTTTTCCGCACAGCCCGTCCTGTTTCCGCCTTACCCTCAGCCACGGTTCATCACTACCGCGTGCCGTTGCCGACAAGTCCTCTTCACAAGCCGGTCAAGACAGCCACCTGCGCCGCCCAAGTCAAGGTCAACTCAAGTCAAGCCATGGTCAAGCTCGTGCGCCGTCTCCACCAAGTCTTCGTCAAGTCCACTTCGTCGCAGCTAATCGAAAAGTATGTCTTTCCCTTTCCCCAGTTATCTGATAGGAGTACGGGCTCCTTAGCATCAGTTAACTTCCCTCCCTATTTTATCTGTACCCTACCCACAGCTGGCCCTTCCCCTAGGACATAACCATATTTTCTCCCCACCCGCTCCCCGGCACATTATACTCCGTCCTTACGGATCCACCCGTACACCCCCTCCACACCCAGTTACGATTAGGCTCACCCTATCTGTGTACCCCCAGGTTGTGGAGTTCAAGCTTTTTCGCCGGGCCGCAGGTCCCACTAGCCCTCCTGTGTTTCCCTTTGCAATCTCACGCCTTCCAGCCTAACACTAGACTGAACCGAGTCCCTGTATCGCCCAAGTCGTGATCACCAGACTGGTGTTATCGATGTAAGCACCAACCAGTCCTTCCTCGGTTCAGACCCTAGTAGCTCTGATACCTCGCGGTTGACGAGCATTCTACAAGGCTCGGCCTCTCGGTTCCTCGTGGGCCGGGAGTGTCGAAAGTTCTGTACAAAGTACAGGACTTACGAGATTTATTCGCATTGGGGGACCCCGGGGGTGGCTTGCTATCCCGCGCCCCTCTCTCCCGCCGCCTACGGTAGGGGGGAGCCCAAGAGGGCGCCGATTTATTGCCAATTTACCGCCAACTTCTTCCCGAAAGGGAGTCGTTGCCGCCAGTCGTTGCACCGATTGGTTTGGTTATTTCGGTAAGGTTGTTGGCTAATGCCACTTCCTGTGCATGATTGGTTAGGCTTGAATACTCTTCCAACCAGCCCTCTCTTTTCCCATTGAGCTCTAATCGTTCCTCTTTTACTCCCAGTGTTTACCCTTGGATCTCGTGTTTATACATTCAGTGCTGCCTCTTTCTATATACTAATAAACCTTTTCCTATCTACAAGTCTCTTATCGGTGGTAATCGCATGGGATCTTATTCATGGTCTGTAGGGTCTTCTCAGAGGCCTAAATTAGTCTTACAGACCTCCGCTGATCCGGCTACCCGTGTTAGGGGATGCGTTGAGGGTCGTAGGAGGAATAGGTGGCAAATTCCTCGCGTGGGCATTATTGGGATTTATTCCTAATAGTGCGGAATTGCTATTCCTTTTCGACAAAAGGTGCCAAAACATACATGACAACGGTTAGATTTCAAAATTGTTTTACCAATCTTAAAGCGATGGGCAAGCCGTTGCTCTTGATTTAGAGAGTTTTTAATGCCGCCGCGAAACGCGACGTGGCGCGACGTTTACGGTATCTTGTAAATTTTTCTCAGTTGTTCATGCATTATCATTTATCATTATTAATTAAAAGCCGCGATATGCGGCCTGTCGCCCTTTCAAAACGAATTTCCGTAACGAATGTTTCATCAAATTTTTGCTGGGCGAACAAAATCAATATGCCAATGTTCGGCTTCTTTATGGTGTCGTTATACCAGTAAAAAATATCGTTGTTGTCAACAATATTTATAGTTTTGACCTCCCAATATTTGCACCTAATGTCGCTGTTAAGGTTACGGCGGTTTATTCATCGGCAACCGCTAGCGGAAGCCCGGCCCCACTGCGAAACCATTTTTTGCAGAAAATTAAGGTTTCATCAAAATTTCACCATACCCAAGAAATCGCTATTTCAATTTTTGTTTGCATCTTGTTTGTGTGGGTAAAAATTGGCTTTTCCAAGGGTTTAAAATTTTCACCAGATGCCAAAATTCAGCGTTCAAATGGAATGGAATGGAATGGAACGGAATGGTACTTTTCGAGAAATTTATGGGAAGAATCAGCTCGAAAAACAAGTGATTGATTTCCAAAAACGGGTTTCAAATTTGTTTGGGTAAAACAAATTTTCGAATCTCGATTAGTCGGTCTGGTAAATTCGATTCGAAAGTTGAATAGCTTTTAGAAGAATTCTTAATTTTTTTAAAATAAATATGCGTCAGCAATACACCACGTAATTTGGGATTACGCATTAACATTAGCATGCTGATAGTCTTTCCAAATTCAAAGGAAGCTTTAGCCCGGAAATGAATTAAGCGTTTTTCAAACAATGTTTCCAGACTAAAAAAAAGTAAATTCCAATGCGGCGCTAATTGTATTTACCAATAAAAATTTACCAATAAAAAGATTTTCAGAGTTTTAAACGAAAGAGAAATTTTTTGACAAAATGTGTTTCCATAATTTCCTACTATACCCCGAAGATTAAGACTTTAATGCGATGGTGTCTCAACAACAAAAATTCCCACCTGTTGGCTGTGAGCCCTCCTTCTTTTCCTCAGCCGCCTCCTTGCTCTTCTTGGTCTTCTTCGGCTTGGCTTCATCCTTCGACTCCTCAGCCTGAGCTTCAGCCTTCTTCGGCTTAGCCTCCTCCGGCTTAGCTTCAGTTTTCTGGGGCTCAGCGGCTTGGGGAGCCTCAGGTTTGCCAGTTTCCGGTTTTTCCGGTGCAACTTTCGCGGTAATAGAGATGGCGACCTCGCAGCTGACGTGGCCGGCCTCGTTTTCGATATGGCATGCGTAGACTCCGGCGTCTTCGGATTTGATGGCGTCATGGATTATCAGACGCGCCACATCGGCTTCCGGCTCGTTTTGAAGCCGCACGCGCAGGCCGTCGATCATTTGGTGACCGGTGCGGTACCTGGAAAAGTATGAATTTTTTTATATTCTTAACTTATTAAAATTATTTTGAACCGATTTATCGTATTTTTAAAAATGGGCCACCGTTAACGTGTCTCGGGAAAGTATCAATCGCGGAGATATTATTAGAATTTGTAGACTGTTTTTGAGCTTTTTTTACATCTTTCAAAATCTACAAAAATATAATGCAAATTTTAGGGGTATTTCCACTCAAAATTGCATATCGATGGCCGGCGCGGTAACGGGAAAATTACCAATTTTTGGCGCCTGATGAACCTTTACGATTTTATTTTATGGTAGGGATCGTTTTCAATAATTTGAGCAAGAAGAAACAGTGATTGACGCAATAGAATGTCGATTTTCATATAGAATCTTGCTGTAGCGACTTTTGCATGATCTCTGAAACATCTTTTGGCTGCATGAGAAAAATTTACGTTTTTGGGAATAAATATTGGTGTTTCAAAAAGATCCCGGTGGTGCCAACTTCGGCCCATGTTGCTAATCCTATCCTATACCTTACAGGGTGTCCCAAAAAAAACGACCCATCTGGCATTTCGCCGTGTTACATCCAATCGGCCTCAAATTTGGACCAGAGGTGTATCAGACCCTAAATAACCACAATCCTGAGTTATAGCCCTGTAGCTACAGTCGTTCTCGAGTTATAACGAAAAAAAAACTTTATTTTCCATTTTTCATAGGGTTTTCGTGGAATTAGACCCCCTAAACATTAAGCGTAAATGATCCGGCAGGCCTTTTTTACCCTAAGAAATTTTTTCCAAAGTAAAATTGATTAAATAAACTTTGATTTAAGCGATTTTTACAACGCAAAACTACCCAAGTTCTTAAGCGAAATTAGGGATTCGCAGCCGGAAGTCGATGCAAATCGATGCAAAGTCCAAAAAACTGTTCAGAATTCCGGGAATAACAGTATTTTCGTTATAACTCGAGAGCGACTGTAGCTACAGGGCTAAAAGTCAGGATTGTTGTTATTTAGGGTCTGATACACCTTTGGCCCAAATTTGGGACCGATTGGATGTAACCCGGCGAAATGCCAGATGGGTCGTTTTTTTTTTGGGACACCCTGTATATAATTTTGGGGTGTATCTCTGTGTGTGTGTGTGGATGTCAGTTTCGAGGCCCGATTTGAGGGCCTTCCCGTGTTCAAAACGGCTCAATTCCCCGGCGCCCGGGGGAATCGACCCTCCTCTTTCCTATGGGGTTCTTAGAATTTCGATAAAATACAAGTTTACAAAGTTAAAGCCGGTTTTATTCATTTTTTGAGGTAATTTGCATAATGTGAAAAAATAAAAATTTCCTCATTCTTGCGAGTTGCACGCGCGCGTGTGGTGGGGGAGGTCCGAAGGACCCGAGCTACCGGAAAATCAAATTTTTCATGCAAACGCACCATTCCAGCGCCCAAGGCCCGCGAAGCGGGTTTTGGGCGCTGGTTCCTTCCATGGTTCTGCAGATACAAACACCCTTTTGGCTACCCTTCTATGCATAAAAAAAGGGTGTGTCACGAAAATAATAGTTTCGCTCGCTCCTCCTCTCATCAGTACCTCCTCATTCGACTCTCAATTTGCCAAATTTTGTGAAAAAAATAAACACCTCAAAGAACAAATTTTAAGTTTCCGTGCTCAAACATTTTAAATGCGGGGCTTAAGCACTGATGTTTCAACAAAGTTTCATCCAAATTTAGCAATGTGGTTGCTAATTTAAGTTGCGCCATCGGCATATTGACCTGTTTTAAAGGCACAGCGACACCTACGAGGTTTGACCTTATTCGGTCTGAATTTTCATATTGCAAAAAAGAGCGTTTCTGTAGATTAAAGGTTCCGCGATTTTCAATTTATTGCTATTCCGGCCTCCACGACATGGTTTGATTCGGTAAGCAAAAAAAAACGGTAATTTTCCTAGCGTTTTTTTTCGTTTTACGACACTAATTTTCAAAGACAGCGACACCAAGGCGGGCTAGGAAAGATCCTTCGGATCCCCGATTTAACTCGATTTTGGAAGCTAAGCCTAAGCCTAGGCCTAAGCCTAGGCCTAAGCCTACGCCTAAGCCTAAGCCTAGGCAAGCCTAAGCCGAACCCTCAACCTAACAAGGGAAGTGCACGACCGGCCCACGAGAAATCGACACGAGACATAGTCGACCTGATAGAATCGGACACGGGGATTCCGAATCTGTAATCAGAATTTGCTAAATAAAACGGAAAAAAAAAGGTATGAAGCTTCAAAGTTGGCAAAATCGCCCAAAATCGGACTTTTATGGGCCTGTACAGGTCCAGGGAATGAAAATTTGCCACAACCCATTAGTGCATCTTGTTCAGCAGAAAAAGCGCTTTCGAATGAGCTATCTTACTTTAAGTTTACGATGATTTCGCGAAAATCTCTTCTATGAACTTGACAGGCCATACCCTTGCCCGTGAATCCAAAAAAAAACTTTTTTCAGTGAATTGTTTGCAAATGCTACGTATTACAGCTCATTCGAAAGCGCTTTTTCTGCTGAACAAGATGCACTAATTCTTTTCTCCTCAATTCCGTTCCACCGGTTTTTACGGGCCCTGAAAGGTACGGTTTTTGGCGATTTTGCCAACTTTGAAGCTTCATAACTTTTTTCTCCGTTTTATTTAGCAAATTCTGATTACAGATTCGGAATCCCCGTATCCGATTCTATCAGATCCACTATGTCTCGTGTCGATTTCTCGTGGGCCGGTCGTGCACTTCCCTTGTAAGACTAACCCTAAGCCAAGCCTAAACAACACCCACCATTTGACCTTCGGCGCGGGCTCTCCCGAGTACTCGACGACCAACTCGATCTTGTCGCCCTCAGCAGCGGAAACCTGGGCGGACGGCGCCTTCCGGATCATCGGCTTCTCAGCCGTCGTGTCGGTCTTGACGGTCATCTTCATCTGGGCCCACGCGCCGTGTTCTCGCGCGTTGCGTGCGCGCACCCGGAAGAAGTACTCGGTGTTCGGCTCCAGGTTCCGGATTTTCGCTTCGCAGTCGATCGTACGCGCCGCGTCCGTCCAGCTGCGGCGATCCGGTTTCCGGAGTTGCACTTCGTAGTCGGCGATCTAAACATGTTTACAAATTAATGATTATTTGATAAATTTATTCGATTAATATTAAAATTCTGATTTTGCTATGAAAGCTTTGAAAATGAGAAATTACAGTCTACGAATAGGTATTTACCAGGGACTAGACAAATTTGATGACAACTGTATCGGTTTTTCTGCGAAACCTTCATTTTGCAAAAAGCGGTTTTGGTTCTTTGGCATTATCAGGGGGAGGGGCGCATTTTTTTGTATAAATCTAGAAATGCCTATTACAGTAATGTTAAGTATTTATTTTCAGTAGAAAAATCTCTCTATTACGACCAGAAAAACCATCGAAAAAAATTTTTAAAAATCTAAAATTAGAAGTTTTGGCCAAAATGCGATCAGCTAACTAATTGGAAATGATGCAAAAACCGCCATTTTTAATCGAAGAAACTGCTATAAACTTTGAGGTTTTAATAAAAAATCTTTCTGTAGACATTCACTACTGGCTGCGCTGCAAAACCGGAATGCTTCCCCCGTGGGTTTCTCAAATACATTAAATTAACGAAAATAGTTAAATGTTTGGATAAAGCCTAATTTTAATGGATACATGCTTAATCTACGCTGAATTCGATTAAAATTAAGTCTGATTTCAACCTATCATTTTCGCTTTTTCATCCGTTTGTCGAAAATGTTTCACAACAGCCTCGATATTGGGTTGGATTTAGAAGCGTAATTGGGAAATTTCGCGTTTTTACATACATTTAGTTAATTGGCTTTATTTTTCTAATCAAGCCCACGGCGGCTTTTATGAAACGTTAATAATATGAATTTATTTATTACCTGTGATCCTCCATTCTCCTTCGGCTCGCTCCATCCCAGGGAGACGGATTGTGTGGTGGTGCCGTTGAGCACGAGATCCTCCACCAGACCCGGGGCTCCCTTCTTCTTTTCCTCATCTTTTTCTTCGACCTTTGCCTTCGGCTTCTCCTGCTTTTCCTCGGCTTTTCGGGTCACCTAAAATATTTTTTGTTGAATGGCACGTTTCAAAAATTCTGGAAGTCCCGAAGTTTTTTCACCGCCGATCCAGCGGATTTGGTAGTGGTCCTCAATACTCATTTCACTCCTTTCTCTGAATTCCAAATATGAGCTACATATTGATAATAAAAATATTACGAAAAATGTGCTGTGAACGCTTGGGATTCGGTTAAAAGTTACTTCGCAATTAATTTAAAAAAGGCTTAAAAAATTAAAACAGAAGTAGCGAAAAGCCGGGAAAACGACATGCTAGGAGCATGTTTCAGTGAAACCTATATCAAGCATCAACTGCCCGTTTTAACACTGCTGCAAACGAATATCTAAAACCAAAGAGGTTTGCTAAAGCCGCTGGAAAACCTACACTGAATCAAATACCGTACTACTAAGATTGGAATTTAGTAAAATTACTATGCACCAGGGTTGAAAAGCCGCTTCGCGACTTTTCAACCCTGGCCCTGTCTGACCCCTATTATCTTTCAATTTGCACAATTGTCCTAAATTCAGATGACAAAAAATGAAAAACAACCGTCTGCCCCTTTATATATAGTCTATATCTCTACTTCCGTTCTATGCTAATTATTCCCTAACAAAGACGTTTTCACAAAAACTGAAATTTAATGTCGAAAATAGGTGATTTTGTCGAATCTCATATGCGTGCAGTCATCTCCAGGCCATTACGCACCTAATGACGTATCAAACATCGCTAAAAATTCATCCCCTACCGAGATATCCTCCGGACAGACATCCGGAAGTGGATGCAAAGTGTCACACACAGACACTATTTTTTTTATAGTAGGACCAGCGCCCAAAACCCGCTTCGCGGGCCTTGGGCGCTGGATTTGGGCCTTTGCATGAAAAATTTGACTTTTCGATAGCTCGGGTCCTGCGGACCCCTTCCCCCACCGACCACACACGCGCGAGCAAATTGCAAGAATGCAAGAATTGCAAATTGCAAGTCGTTACTTCTAAAATTCTAAGCCTCGTTTTGAGCATAAATATGGTAATCCGGCGTACCAAATTTTAGAAGTAACGTTTTTAGAAGTAATGATTTTTAGAAGTAATGACTTTTAGAAGTAATGATTTTAGAAGTAATGACTTTTAGAAGTAATGATTTTAGAAGTAATGATTTTAGAAGTAATGATTTTAGAAGTAATGACCGTACCCTTTGCTTTGCCTTTTTGCTCTTTGCCGGACTTCTTAAAACCAGCGTGCAAAAAAATGTTTCAACAAGGTTTCGCGCTAAAAAAGAATAATCACGTGTAATGTGCTGTTGGAACATGGTATCGAAAAATTTTTGCCTAGATATCAGATTTTCTCTGATTTTTATCGTATTCTGGTATTTTCTAAACACCATACCTGAACCTCAGTGTCGTGCTGAATTTTGCCTCTTTCATTTTCCGCGAGGATACGGTAGATGCCGGCGTCTTCGAGCTGGGCGTTGGAGATGATCAGCTGATGGCTCAATCCCTCGCTCAGGGCCAGGATCCGCTTATCCGTACGTAGGGGTTGGCCGTCCTGAAAGAAGGATTTTTCATTTTTAATTAATTTTTAATTCTGTATTACCAACAATTATTAATTATCGTGGATTTAATTCATAAAATGCAATATCTACGTAGATTTGCAGATTTTCCGCACCAAAATGTCTTGTCATTATGCGCAAAAATCCAAAGTAATATTGCGAGTTGGCTGAAACATTTTTTTCCAACTCGCAGAATAGGATGTGATTTTAATTATTTTTTTTTATTTTGTTGGCTCAATTAAATAGCATATTACAGGCAAATAACATTTTGCGCGAAGGAAGAACTAAGGATTGCGCCGTTGAAATCATTTTGGTAGTTTTGATGAAACACTAAATTCTTCGGTACCGCTTTGACTTGTGTGTAAAAATGATTTTTTAAAAATTTGTGCAAATTATCAGGTCTACGATTTTTAAAACTACATTTAAAGTTCTGAAAGCGTAAAGAAGGAATCAAAAAAATCCCAATAAAATTTGTACAAACATAAATCAATGTTTGGTTTTCGGTGATGACAAATGTTATGTTTCGAGAAAAATACCCTTGCAATGGAAACGAAGCTGAATATTAACAGCAGCCAACAGATTCTCAGATATAGGAGCTAATTCAATAATTTTATGTATTACTTAAGAATTTTTTTTGTAAAGGAGAATTTTATACTGAAGTTACTTGGGGAGCAATTGCACCATAAAAGTCGTAATGATCCTGTAATTTCGTCGAAACATCATGTCCTTCAGTGCCGACTTTGACTAATGCAATATTGTTTGGTCATTTAAATAGCTTTTAAGCAGCTTTGTAGCGGTTTTAAATCCAAAAACTGAAACTAAAAAATCATGGATAAATTTGCAAAACTAAAAAATAGATATTTTGAAGAAAATGTTCAAATGTTTCGACCTTTTACAACGCTAGCGAAACCAGGGAATATTTAATAACACTTTCTATGTAGGTTGACGCTCTAATAAATCGTATTTAAAAAATAGTGGTATTTGAGGTTTATAATTATACTTTACAGCAATTAATTTAGTAGATACAGCCACTTTTAAGGTCTATTAAACCAGCAAAAATATTTTTCTTTTCTAATTTTTGGCAATGCTTTAATTTTTTGGTATTTTATTTTCTATTTCTCTAATTTTTCTGCTCTAATTATTTTTTTACAATAATAAATATTTCTTTTTATAGTTTAACTAATTAATTTTTAAGATTCGTGAATTTGGTTATATATTCATTTGATTTTTCCTGAATCAAGATTAATATCTTACCTTCAGCCAGGTGATATCCGGCGTGGGGGTGCCATTAATGTCGCAAAGAATGTTCAGCACTTGTCCCTCTTCCACGACCACCTTCTTCTTCGGCTCGACGATGAACGCGGGTAGGATTGCCTTCGCTTTTTCCTTCCGTTCGGCCAGGGATACCTATAGAATTAAAAGTTTTTTACCGCATTTTGCCCGATTTTTACCGAATTTTTAGCGAATTCGCATGGCATTAACCATTCGTGTAATTTAAAACAGTTTATTCGTAAAGTTTTACGCAACATCACTTGGCAAAAAAGTTGAAACCAGTCGCGATCAATAAAGCATTGCACCAACCGAATTTTACTTTCTTTTGAACTTTTATTGCAACATTCCTTTTCCAAAATTCCGGAACGTAGGCATTGGCAAACAGGATATATTTTTAAAATTATATATATAAGCTATTTTGAATTTATAAACATTAATTGCTTTGTTTAAACAAATTAATTAAATTGTGGAAGAGTGTTCAATTATCGTCCGATAGAAAAGTTAAAATACCCTGCAGTTAATGATTTAATGTTTTGCGAGAATTATGGAGGTAAATGTATCAATAAAAGTATGTAAATATATAATAAAAATAGCCTCGAACGAGAATATAAAATATTGATGCAAACCTCAAAACCTGGCGAGTTTATAATGGCCTGAGAATTTGCACCAATACTTTTATGAGAATACGCTCGTTCTTCCCTAGTCAGCAAAACATATTTTTTTCGATAAAATTAGCTGACCAACGAATATCGATAAATAATCCTACTATATATAAAAAAGTAGTGTCTGTGTGTGTGTGTGTGCCACTTTGCATGCAACTTCCGTCACCATGTCCGGGGGGATATCTCAATAAGGGATGAATTTTATGGCACGTATGATACGTCATTAGGCGCGTAATGGCTCTGGGATGACTGCACGCTTATCAGATTTTACAAAATAAGCTATTTTCGACATTAAATTTAAGTTTTTGTAAAATTTTCGGCAAGTGTTAGCAAAAATCAGCATAAACCGGAAGCGGCAAGAGCCTACATAATCAGCTAGAGAGGGTTTTTTTTCATTTTTCGCATCGAAATTCGAGAGACAAATGCAGGGTGAAGAACGTTCAGGGGTTAGACGGGGCCAGGGTTGAAAAGTCGCGAAGCGGCTTTTCAACCCTGGTAGAAATTAAATCAATATAAATCAGAACAACGGGTTAGCTTAATAGCCATAATTTGCGAACAATGACTTGACGTAACGATGACCAATAAGTTTCCCCGATTAACTCGTTTTTTTTTTTAGTTTTTAGTGCAACATTTTTTTTTACAAAAAGTCTTAAAATCATGTTTAACAAAAATTTTAATACTATAATTTTATACATTTTTATGAATTGAAATTGACTTGAATTTAGTATTTTAATGACTAGCTATTGCCCAAAGTTCAGCTTTCAATAAGCAACCTGAATTCAATTTCGTGCGGATTTTCCTGCTTATGACACGCAACGCGCACGCCACGCCTGGTCGTTTAAAATGTGTCGTAATCGATTACGCAATGGAAAGGCAGACGTGCGCGTTGCGTGTTGCGCCGCTCGGCGAAATTCTCGCGAATCCACGGTTTCATCCTGACTTGCCAACCCCTTTAAAATCCCACAAACCTGCGCCGAAGTATGCGCATCGCCAAGCGGGTTCGTCGCCACGGCCGTGTACACGCCGCAGTCGTCGGGCCCGCAGGAGACAATCTCCAGCGTGGCCGTGCTATCGTCAAAGGTACGCGTGCGTACATTCTCGTTTCCATGGATCGCCCGGCCGTTGTGCAGCCAAACGATTTCGACGGCCGGTTCGCCCTTGGCCTGCAAAAATTTATAAAATTAAGATAAAATAGGATGAAAAGACTAGGAAAATAGTATGTTTCAAATGCTTAGCAAAATAAAAATTTTTCTTCAATTTTAATGAAGTCAAGACATTGTATTCAATGTGTCAATCAATATGGTCGAAAAATGAAAATTCTTGTTCTTGTCTTTTTTTGTGTTCAAATTCTTGAAAATCAATTTTTCATTTTCTTGAAAGATTTGGCTGAGTTGGGCCATTTAAATTTAAATTTTTAATTTTTAATTAAATTTTAATTGACTGCAAGGCGGGGAGGCCAAAAACTACAAAATTCAAGAATACTACGCCTTTTTCGACAACAATGCACGTTTAATAATTTACAGGAAATTCTTCCTTGCAATGAAAACTTTCCCAGACATTCAAATTGTAACACGAGGAAAAGCTGGAACATTCGTTCAGTAGTTAGTAAATTTAGTAAATTAAATTCGGCACCTGGCAAGTGAGTGTGACGCCATCGCCCTCCTTGGCCACCTCCATATCCTCGAGCTTCTTCACGAATTTCGGCATGTCCTTCACGTGGTCATCCTCGGTCACCTGAAAAATTTTGGATTCGGTAGGCTAGCAAAGATTTTTCGGAAATGCTCGAGTCGCCGCCGCTTGATAAATAGACATAACATCGCAGGCATCGGTTGATAAATACTAGAAATATTTCCTCAAAATGCCTTTTTGAAGTAAGGGAAAATGGCAAATTGATCTCCAAACGACTTATGGAATCGAATGAAACATATTTTTATTTTTTGTGGTGAAAGAAGCTTTGCTAGTCTGCCTCTCTCTCTCTCATCCCAAATGATATCTGCTAGCCTGCCCTCGCACTTTTTTGAAGGAAAATAATAAAAATGTATTGTCAAAGAGTTGCATGGTCCAAAAACGCGATTATAAGAAAATATCCCAGAAATTGATAAGATTTAGATAAAACACAAATTTTTCAAAAAAAAAATCGCAAATTATTTTCGCATTATAATCTAATGATTAAATTCAAACAATTCATTTCGACATTACGAATTTTGGTATTAGGACATTTCGACAGTTTTTTAAGAAAACGCACCTGTTTCGCAACCGTAAGCACGGCACGGCTCTCGACAGTTCCGGCTCGATTCGCCACCCGGCATACATATTCCCCAGCATGCTCCTCGTTTGCCTCGTAGATCTTCAGGAACGCTACCCTGCCGTCAAAGTACGTGCGTAGCAGGCGACTCTCCGACACGAGCTTCCCATTACGGTACCACTCGACGGAGGGGGCCGGCACGCCCGAGACTTCAAGTTCGAGCAGTTCACGATTTCCCTCATATACGGTGGTGTCGGTGAGGGGTCGGGTGATGACGGGGGCTCGCTCGTCTTCGCGGTCGACGCTTGACCTGAAAAAAATGAATTTCAGAAATGCAGAATAGCCAAAGTTTTGCAGCTCCGGTAATTGGCGGACTGTAGCCGTTCTTCAAAAATTCGTCATTATCAAGACATTTTAAGGCGCCGCAGTGCGAGTTGATTAATTGCAATACTCCATATCAAAATGATTATATTGCTTTCGATATAAATGTTTAAATTTAGCTTATTTCTTAAAATTTGACGTTTTCTTAATCAATAGCTTTGATACCTGAACGAATGAGTTTCGAAAATTCCGAAAACTCAAATTTTTTTAGGCCAAGGCAATTTTAGGCTAATAGTTATTCGATTACTACTAATTTTAGGCATAATTTAGGCTACTTTCGCTCGCCTGCATTAAAATTTTTTTGAACCGCGAAAAATGCGGGTTTCAAAAAATTACTAATCACCCAATTACTTACTCGGGAGAATCATTCCTTCTATACAAGTATCCAAAATTTTGCTGCCGCAATTTATGAAACCGTATTTCTAACTTTATTTCATAAAAAGGCAAATAAATAATGATAAGAATTTATTAAATACCTTAATTCAGGAACGACCCATTGCCTTCATTCTGTTGGGATCGATTTTGGAAAAAGCGTGTTTTGGCAAATACGTAGTTTAAGCATCTCACAAGCGCTATAAGACCAACCATTTTTCGTATTTTTGCCTTGCTTAAAACTGTAATAAATAATGAAAACAAACTGGGCATTTAATCTATTCATATTCAAACGAGCCTAATTATTGTCGGTTTCTTACTTTTTCTACGTCGAAGAGCTGTTTGGGTCCTTTTGAAAAAACGCGTTTCGAAAAAAATTTAGTGCAGGCAATTTACAAATAGGAGAATGTATTCTTCCTGGTCATTTTACAAAAGACAATGAATCTGTTCAAACCCAAGCGAACCTCGCCGGTGTCGGGCTCCTGCTCCTCGAGCTGGCGCGGCTCGTGCTCAGTCGGCTGGCCGCCAGTCCCATGTCGATCACCTTGACCGTGCAGTGCGTAAAGTCCTTGCCGACCGGGTTGATTGCCTCGCAGGCGTACTGCCCGGCGTCTTCCACCTAAATTGAATTTTTATTCTGAAAAAAAGATTTCTAGGTTCTGGAACGCCTGGATTAAATCAAAATACACAAAAAGATCGCCAAGATTTTTTTAAACACATTTTTGTCGCCGGAAATTTTGATTGTTACTTTTCCCGCAACACAAATTTCTAAAAGATTGTCTAAAAATTAATTTTGTTAATCGAAAATTATATTATTAATTTATGCAGGTGCACTAAAAATTATAAATGGAAGGTTTAGCGCGGTAATAATTTATTTGACAAACGGCTAAGAATTCTAAAAATATGCACAAACGCTTTTGAAACATGATTTTGGCAAAATTGTGATTTTCTAAAATTTTCTAAAACGCCTCAAGTTTTTTAGGTTTTCGGTACGATAGGGCGGCTACCGCACTAATATTGCATTTAAAAGAATTTTTTTTTAATTTAAAATTTAAAAGAAAAAAGAATTTAAAAATAATTATTTTGAATTTTTGTCGAGTATGCAAAACTCAGGAATTGAGATTCGATTGAATTATAGAGACTTAGCAAATATCATGAAACATCTTTTTCTCGTTCTAGTGGTTGCCAATTTGAGGTTAAAATTGGCGGATTTTCAAACATATAAAACTTAATGGTAAGAGCTATATCTGACCTGGACATTCATGATGTTCAGCTTCGCAATGCCCTTCCGGTCGATGTAGTGCAGCATGCGATTTTCGAGGATCAGCTTCAGTCCATCCTTGTACCACGTGAGGTTCGGGAGGGGGGAGCCTTCCACCTGAAAAATCAAGACTCATCTCAGCTTTCATTATCTTAAACGTAAAATTTACAGTCGTACTATTATGGAATGGAATGCCATCCAAAATACTTCCCCACACTTTACGATACCATGAAAATTCATTATCAAAAATTATGTTTTAACGAATTGGGTAGCTAGGCTTAATAATCCAAGGGCAATTACTTGTCCTTAATGTGAGAAATCCAAATTTTTCGCTTCCCCAATGATCTTTGCTAGCCTGCTACGAGAAGCTAACCGAATTGTCGTCAAATCCAAAAGATGCGCCTTTTTCTGGGCTACAAAATACACTTCTTAACAAGGGTTAACGGTAATCCTTTGAGGCGAAAAATCGGCAAAATGCTGGTGACCTACCTGCCCTGTAGTTCTAACTTTGTGACGTTACAACTTTTCCAGATTATGATTATTTTGTTTCAAATTTTGTACGCATATGCTACCCTAACTTGCGCATATTCTGTAAAGAAATACAGTACGAGCGGACGTAATACGCAAAAGGTATAGCTTGGCGAACTTTTGTGAAAAGATATCCGTAGCTACTGTTTTTAAAGGCGCACAACTTCTTCGCATTACCCTATTTTAAGCTAAAATTTCGTCAGGCGCTAGTAGGTTGACAGACGCCCATTCTATCAAAATTACAGCTCCAGAAAAGGTAAATTAAGAAAGTTAATAGCTTTAGGAAGATTTGGGTGGTAGATTACCGGATGTCTTTTATAAAAAAACGTATAACTTTTTCCGATTACGATATTTTCGTTTAATATTTAGAGGGCATATGCGGCTTGATCTTGCGCATGTCCCGGAAAAATTACAGTACCCAGAAACCTAATTTCGCAATGTTTCCGCCCTCTGAAACTACCGTACCTGGCACTCCAGCACAATCTCATTGCCCTCGCAGGCCGACTTGTCCATCAGCGGCTCGACGAATTTCGGCTTGACCCGCTTGTCCTCGGCGGGCGTGATGGTCAGCACCGTCATCGTCCTGGCGGCGCCGTGGAGATTCTCGGCCACGCAAGTGTATGTGCCCGAGTCCTCGGGCAACGTGTTGAAGATGTTCAGGCTGACGACGCCGTTCTCGAACTTGACGGCCTTCCGGTCGAGCTCCATCTTTTTGTCGTCCTTAAACCATGAGATTTTCGGCTCCGGCTCGCCCGCCACCGCGCACACCATCACCAGCTCGGTGCCTTCGGGCGCGTCGCGGGGGTTGGGGAGTGGCATTCTGGAATTTGGAGGTTTTGATGAGGTTATGCTTGGGCTAGATATAGCTAAATTAGCATCTCTCGTTCTCTCTCGCTCTCTCGCTCTCTCGCTCTTTCTATCTCTCTCGCTCTCTCGCTCTCTCTCTCTCACTCTCTCTCTCGCTCACACCTCTTTTGTTTTTTAGATTGGCATCAAAGGGCGTACGAAGGATTAGTGGGCAAATTTTCTTCGGATTGCCACGTATTTGTGCAACAGATTTTTTCTGAGCTTTTTTCGTAGACTTTTCATAACTAATTACGCTACGAAATGAACAGCTACTGGCACCGATTACCAAGTAGCTGGGCAGTCGTGATTAGGATTTTTTTGAAACATAATAAAATCCCTTTTTATTTGCGGCGATAGGTAACCGATTACGATGCGAAAACAGAAAAATACATACTCAGGCCATACTGTGATCCTTTTCCGACGGGCTTAGTGCCAGGTTTTTGCAACATACTTTTTCTACCCCAGTTTTCGAGGTTTTTTGTAAGGAAACAACAAGTGGCGCGGACGATTGAATGATGCGTGGCTAAAATGTAGTCGCGATTCAGCGAAACATATGGAACGTTTTTGACTTCAGAATCATTTTGGATCGAGCAGGAAATTCAAGTTTAGAAGTTTACGTTTAGCAAAGAAAGCCTGCGACCGCCCAGATTCAACACAAATTAATTTTCTGAGCTCTGGAAACAAATTTGTTGATTTTATTTCGTGTAAAAATTTTTGCGCTCGCCACAATATAATATCAAATAACCACTAAACTCCGCGGGCGGATTAAACTACGCCATAGGTGACTGGCAATGCCATTTGTTGAAACATGACTTTCCGTGGATACTGCTTGGAGGTTCGGATCGTTTTTTGTGCCATACAGATTTTTTCAGAAACATAACCAAGACGAATTAGGTAGCTTAATGAGAATTTGATTGCTACGATTTTGCGCAATAACTTTAACTTCTGGAAAAGTGTAAGAAATGCTAATTTCGCACGAATTAGCAATTGCTTATTGATTTTTGATAATGGGATTTCTCAACGTCTTTAAAGTGTTCGTTGTGATGAAACACTGTTTCGTAAATCTTGATCAATAAAACAAATAGAAATCAGGGGAAATCGGTATTTTTAAATCGGTTAGTTTATGAATTTTTCAGGGCGCTTCAAGAAATGGATGCTCCAAATAAAGATTAAGGTCATATCTATGTTGAAACATTTTTTAAGAGATTTAAATTACACAAATAATTCAGCCTTATCGTTATAGAAAAATTTCTGGCATTTTGAAAGATCCGCGCACTGCTGTATTCAAGCTGAATAGATCAGCAATTCCTTGCCAATTCTTGAAACATTTTTTCAAATCATCATTTTCTAGTTTTGAGCATTTTCAATGCTTTAATATGATTTAGCTATCTTAAAATTAAACATTGCAATTTAATCAAAATTTTAAATGCTGAAATAAATCTAATATAAAGAATACTTTTTCTTAATAAAATCCCCCACCTAAATTTGGGCGCCTTGGAGTCGTCAATCTTCTTGGGCCGGAGCTTCTCGGGCTCCTTGATGGTGACGGTGCAGGTGCTCGTCTCGGAGCCAAGCGGATTCCGGGCGACGACCCTGTACTCGCCCGAGTCCTCGGCGTACGCATTGACTAGCGTAAGCGAATATTTGTGCAGCTCGTCGTCGAATTCGAGGCGATAACGATCGGAGTGCAGAATTTCCTGGTCGTTGTGGAACCAGGTGATTTCCGGTTTCGGGCGGGCTTCCACCTACAATTTCAAGGTGAGGTCGTTTAAATTTTTATTGATTTCCATTTTTACCATATTTTCGTAATTTTAAGTTTTATCACCATTGTTTTTTTGTAATTTTGCTATTTATTTTTCATTATTTGCGGTTAAACTTAAATGCTATTTTAATTTTTACTCAATCCTAATTTGTTATTCGCGTGAACGCTCCGCCCATATTTTTATTCATTTTTAATTTGCTTTCTATTTTACCCACATTTTCGTATTTAATTAAACTTTTATCGTTGTTGTTCCCAAAATTTGGAATGATGGAATTATTTTGCAGTAAGAGACGGATCCCAATTAAATGAAATTTTCGGCTCCGAATCTGTATTTTTTGTGAAACACATCTAAATATTTCATGTGGAAATGTATCTAAAGATTTAGAAACTTTTCAAATTTTGGCCGAAAATAGAATCTTTTTCTTTTTAATTTTAATTAATTAACTGTAATTTAATCAATATTTTTTTGGAATTTGGCATATTTTAATTCTTAGGGATAATCAAAAATAATTTAGGATAGGTTTTATTGATATGGTAAAAAACCGGCCAAAAGAAAAGAAGATCCCCTGATCGCTGTACGTTGCGTTTTAAATTTAATCGTTTTTCGCGTTAATCGTTAAACGTAATATTAAAAAATACGGAAATCCCCGATAATGGAAAGGCACCTTAATTTTGTAATAAATTCGTTACTAGCTTTAAATATATAATAATAAAAATTCAGGTAAAATATATATAAATTATATAAGCCCTGATAAAATTTTCAAAATTAAATCTAATGTAAAATTAGCATACCTTAACCTCGAGCCGCAACCTCTCCTGCTCATCACAGCGGATATCGTACAAGCCATGGATGAAGTTGGGCGCGGCCATGTCATCGGGGACGACGACAGTCAATTTACACTGACTATCACACTCCCCAAAAGCATTGATTCCATGTGCTCGCCACTCGGCGTCATCGCTGAGGTCAACGTGCAGAATCTCGCACTCATAACGGCCCTTGTCGTGCTTCAGAAGGTATTTGTGATCTCGCAGCACTTCGACTCCGTTTCGATACCACCTGACGGTCGGCTCGGGCAGGGTGGTGTTGGTGACGCAGAGTGTGTACGTCTCGCCCCACTTGACGGTCTGGTCGGACAGGCGGTGCCTAAAGGTATGCAGGCATTAATGGGAGGTTTTTGCATCGTTTAAGGTTGAGTGATACCTTGTCTGAAAGAGCGAAAAATTCTCTATAAAATGGCATATTCAAAATGGATTAAATGACTACGGTAATCGAGATCCAGCTATCTTAATTTCAATTTTTGGTCGGACAGGCGGTACCTGAAGGTTTAAGTTTATTAAATCTCATTTTTTATACTTTTGTTATTGAGTGATACCTTATTTGAAAGATCGATAAATTCTCTACAAAATGGCATATTGAAAATGGATTAAGTATCTACGGTGATCGAGATGTAATTATTTTAGATGGGCGAGGGTATACGTTTATTAAATACCAGTCGATATCAGCCGCTTCGCGGCTGCTATCGACTGGCCCTCCCGGGGGGCAAGGCAATACAGGGTGCTTCCCATTCTCTTTAGTATATTTCCCGCTTGGCGCGAATACCTTCCGTGATCTACCTATGCCCGTCCTCCAAAACCAAAGAACCTTCCACTCCTGCTCTTCCCCCTGAAAGAACCCCCCCTACCCCCCAACATCCGTAGTTGATCTTAAACAAAAGTAGAAGGGAAGTGTAATGGTCAGCACACTCCCTAGAAGCAAAGCTCTAACCTTCTTTAAGACCAAAAAAAAACATCTAAGAAACGCGTAATGGCCAGAATACCCTTTGAAAGAAAGTTATTTCCTCTTCTTCGATACTAAAAAAACATCTAGGAAACGCGTAATGGCTAGAATACCCTTGAAAGAAAGTTATTTCCCCTTCTTCGATACTAAAAAAACATCTAGGAAACGCGTAATGGCTAGAATACCCTTGAAAGAAAGTTATTTCCCCTTCTTCGATACTAAAAAAACATCTAGGAAACGCGTAATGGCTAGAATACCCTTGAAAGAAAGTTATTTCCTCTTCTTCGATACTAAAAAAACATCTAGGAAACGCGTAATGGCTAGAATACCCTTGAAAGAAAGTTATTTCCCCTTCTTCGATACTAAAAAAACATCTAGGAAACGCGTAATGGCTAGAATACCCTTGAAAGAAAGTTATTTCCTCTTCTTCGATACTAAAAAAACATCTAGGAAACGCGTAATGGCTAGAATACCCTTGAAAGAAAGTTATTTCCTCTTCTTCGATACTAAAAAAACATCTAGGAAACGCGTAATGGCTAGAATACCCTTGAAAGAAAGTTATTTCCCCTTCTTCGATACTAAAAAAACATCTAGGAAACGCGTAATGGCTAGAATACCCTTGAAAGAAAGTTATTTCCTCTTCTTCGATACTAAAAAAACATCTAGGAAACGCGTAATGGCTAGAATACCCTTGAAAGAAAGTTATTTCCTCTTCTTCGATACTAAAAAAACATCTAGGAAACCGCGTAATGGCTAGAATACTCTTGAAAGAAAGTTATTTCCTCTTCTTCGATACTAAAAAAACATCTAGGAAACGCGTAATGGCTAGAATACTCTTGAAAGAAAGTTATTTCCTCTTCTTCGATACTAAAAAAACATCTAGGAAACGCGTAATGGCTAGAATACCCTTGAAAGAAAGTTATTTCCTCTTCTTCGATACTAAAAAACATCTAGGAAACCCGTAATGGCTAGAATACCCTTGAAAGAAAGTTATTTCCCCTTCTTAGATAATAAAAAACATCCTAAAACCTCGGAACGGCTACAATACCCTTTGAAACGATATTTTTCGGCCCTGGCCCTTTCGGGGGAAAAAGGCGAAACGATAGAGCTCCGGTGAAAATTTTCAGCCTCCGACTACGGTAGCCAGGGGGATCGCGGCGGGATTGAATTCCCGGTCGGGCGGTCGGTCGGGATCACGGACATTAGAAATTTATATATAGTAGACCAGGTTCTAGCTACCTTTTCCATGGAATAATAGCTCATTTTGAAGAGCTAAAAATTCTCTACAAAATGCACTATTCAAAATCGAGTAAATGACTACGGGAATCGAGACATAGTTTGTCTAAGTTCAAGGTTTCGCCGGACCGGCAGTGTCGAAAGGCATAAGTTTATTGAATGCTAAGTTTTTAGAAACTCTTAACGTTAACCGATACCTAATTTGAAAGAGCGTCAAATTCTCCACACAAAATAGATCATTGAAAATTTGGTTAATTAGTGCGTTAAGAGGAGATAGGATTATTTTAGTTTAACGATACTTTTTGCGGAATTCACGACTAGCCAAGAAGCGTAAACTACAACTTTTGTGAAACATCATTTTTAAAATTTTCGGGTCAATTAAAAGGAAATAGCGCCGGCTCAGCTAGTCGCACCAATCCGGCAATAAGGGACTTTACACGTGTAAAAACAATTGATCTACTCTAAATCTAAATTTTGGATTTTATTTGGTATCGAGTGGCTCTGGAATTACCGAGCTCCCACGACAGCACCAATTCTTCCTTGGATAAAACATTGAATTTTGAATCTTGAAATTTCATAAATTATTCAAAAACCCGGATGCTCTGCTCGATGTGCCAAGCCCTTTCTAGGTTGCTGAATAGAAAAGCTCAGCAATCCTTTTTTGGGAAGAATCGGATACCTTCATTAATAAATAGCGCCAACAGTTTTTCAATTAAATTGTTTTAATTAAATATATTTTTAAAGATACCTGAAGAACGGCGGCTGGTCCATGAGTGGGGGTTCTTCGGGGATTTCGGTCTTCGTTCTCTCCTTCTTCAGCTTCTTCGACTGATCGGTCGGCTCGGTGTCGGCCTTCTTCACCTGCAAAAACAAAAAGTTGAAAAAATGCAGGAAAACATAAAAAAATTTCGGATTTAATTTTCCAGAATTTCTTAAATGTTTCAAAAATTCGCAAAACTACCGAACTTTTGAAATTTTTAATTTCGCTCATCCAGCAAGTTTCAATTATTAGTCCTAAAAATTACAGCATACCTTTTTCTTCGGCGCTTCGATCACGAGCTTCGCTTGGGTCTCGATGGATCCAAGATCATTTGTGGCACGGCATGTGTAGATTCCGGCGTCGGTTTCTTCGATATTTTTCACCGTCAGCTCAGCCAGACCATTCAGATAGCGCGTGTTGTATTTCGGAGAGTTTATTGGTAGTTCCTTGTCTCCCTGGAAATCAAAAATAGTATAATCGCCACATTAAATTTTTAGATACCTCTAGACACCTTCAAAATAGCTGAAATAAACCCTAAAATAAGCCTCAAATTAGCTTAAAAGTATCAAAATCTTAAACTGATTATAAAAGATGTTAAATGAACCAAAAGAAATGCCAAAATGGTCTCAATATAACTAAAGATACTTTGAATGCTTACCTTGAACCAGCGTATCCTTGGAGCCGGCATTCCTTCGACGTCGCACGACAGCGTCGCGATCAGGTCACCAACATTTGCGAAAATGTCCTCGAGACGTTTTCGGATGATTGGCGCACAGTCGGTGTCTGGGAAATCCGATTTAGCAACTGAGCTCTGCTAGCCTGCCCCTCGCTTCCGAAAGGATCTCTGCTAGCCTGCCTCCAAAGAAAAAGTTTGGGGAAAAATAGATGTTACGTAAATCTCTAGCTTTACTTTGGAAGTCATTGCTGCAGTCCGTCCATTCCACTAGCGCGTGCGTTTATTTTTTCGTAAATGACCCGCTCCCTCTGCCAATCTCTGCCAATGATCTCTGCTAGCCTGCCCCTCCCCCCTCTCTCTCATCCCAAATGCTCTCTGCTAGCCTGCCCCTCTCCCTCTCTCTCATCCCAAAGAATCTCTGCCAGCCTGCCCCTCCATTCCTCAAAGAATCGCCGCTAGCTCGGCAGCTTACCGAAAGAAATATTCCGCTCGAATACTCCGTCCATCGACAGCCTCCTAAAGATGGCTCCCCGCTTGGCGAGGCGTCCAATCGGCAGCAGGTCGTCCGACCAGCGCTTGCGCGCCATGAAGTCGCGCTTCTGGCGGAGCGGCACCTTTCCGCGGTATTTCGGGGCGGATTTCTAAAAAGATAAATTAATTTTACTAAAAAAAATTTTGTATTTTTTGTGTAGTTTCATTCTTGATTTTGGATAGATAAAAATTTGTGTTTCACCAAAAAAAATGAATGGGATCGTTTAAAAAGCATAATAGTGATGGTGTTTTCGAAACAGTGTAAAAGCTATTTCTGGTTTTTTTTATTAGAAAGCCATTCTACATTGCCCCATCATAATCTGTTAATAAGCTAATCAAGGAGGTAATTTAAAATTAGAGTAAAGGTTAAAGTCATCATTACCAAGAAGCTGCAAAATTTTACTGTAGAAATGATGTTTCGTCCAATTGCTAATATCAAAAAATTTCTTCCGGTACGATTCATGGTTACAAAATATTATTTGATAGCCCTTTGTAAAGCAAGTAATTTTAGGTATCAGTAACCAGTAATAATGTAATACCGTAATCTTAAAAGCAATATTGACCCGTTACGAAGCTGCGACAAATTTTTGTATTACAGAATTGATGTTTCGCCTAGTTCCAAATAGCAAAAAAAAGTTATTATGCCGCGATTCGGTTCCTTTTGAGGTGAGAATTGTATAATTAAAAAAAAACTATTAAAATTCATGGCTATGTCTCACGGGTCTCCGAATTATTTTTATTGCGAATTTGTGTTTCGCCTATTTACAAATGTAAAAATATTATTGAGCAAGGTAGTACGAGATCGACCAAAATCAATATTGAAAACGTGGGGTGGAGAGGTCCACCCCACGTTTTCAATATTTCATTTTTCAAGACACAAAAATCTGTAAATTTTCCACAACATAAACACACACCTCCACGTAGTCGGACAGGTCTTTGAACGCGGACAACATTGGACCCTGAAAATGACCAAATTGTGATGAAAATTATGTTTCATCGAAATGGCTAAATAGACAGATCACAATTGGAGGAATTCGCCCAAACAATGGTGGTAACATACTGAACTATTTAAAACTTACAAAACAAGAAAACTTAGAAATAAACCTTAGTTGGGAATTCTGGGGTCCCATGGCCATGGCCTAGCTCCGGATCCAATCCGTAAAACAAGTGCTCCGGGCGGGGGTCGAACCCGCATCCTACGGCTTTCGAGTCCGATGCTCTCCCTATTGAGCTACCGAAGCACGCGGAATGCCTCTCTCGGGGCAGCTATCCATGCCGGCCCCTCACATCACAGCAAAAAATTCTTGGAAAATTTCGTTGAATTCTATGTTTCGGTTTCCTAATCTGTTTGAGTCGAACCTTCTTGCCTTAAGAACCAGGAAACAGCCACCAATAATTAGTAAAGTTTTTAATCGCAATTCGCCGCTAGTCGATGGACAATTACAATAAATACAACAAGCATCCGAAAACCAGTGATTTTAAAGATTTTCCCTTACTTTTTTACACCGCCGATTTTAAAGAATAAGATGTTTCTATAAATTTTAAAGCAACTCCAGAAACTTGCAGGCCATTCAGTCGCTTTTACGTAATTAAAATTATGCTTTTATTCTTTTCTAGAAGATGATAGAAGTAGTTTTTTCCTTGAAATTTAGGAATTAAATGTAAATTAAATTACTACATTAAAACCTGTGTTTTTTCTAAAAGACATAGGACATAGAACATTTAAGGCCCGGTATAAGCCACAAAAACCATACCACGATCCACGGGTGCTGCAGGGCCTCCTGGACGCTCATCCGCTTCCTCTTATCCTTGGCCATTAGACGGCAGATGAAATCTTTGGCCAAATCAGAAACATCTTCCCATGACGGGTCGTCAAAGTCCCAATCGGCTGCCGACACATTGGCCAGGGTTTCCTCGTCGGAATCGCCGAGGAATGGGGACAAGCCGGAGAGCCTAAAAAAATGAGTTTTCCACAATGACCTCTGCTAGCCTGCCAATTTTTTTTGCAAAAATGTTTCGTTGAAAATGGATAACTGGGGGATAGCTCCCACAATAATAGTCACATGCCAACTGGTCCAATAATAGTCCTGTCTCTCTCTGATCCCAAATGATCTCTGCTAGCCTGCCCCCTCCCCTCTCTCTCATCCCAAATGATCTCTGCTAGCCTGCCCCCTCCCCCTCTCTCTCATCCCAAATGATCTCTGCTAGCCTGCCCCCCCCCCCCTCTCTCTCATCCCAAATGATCTCTGCTAGCCTGCCCCCTCCCCTCTCTCTCATCCCAAATGATCTCTGCTAGCCTGCCCCCTCCCCCTCTCTCTCATCCCAAATGATCTCTGCTAGCCTGCCCCCTCCCCCTCTCTCTCATCCCAAATGATCTCTGCTAGCCTGCCCCCTCCCCCCTCTCTCTCATCCCAAATGATCTCTGCTAGCCTGCCCCCTCCCCCTCTCTCTGATCCCAAATGATCTCTGCTAGCCTGTTAAATCACAAGAAATGGTAGGCCACGAATTTGATGTTTCAAGAATACTGATACACTAGGAAAATTCGTCACGTTTAATAAGAAGTTGTTGCGGCTGCCATCCTGAATTTTCCTTACACCCTCCCAAATGCTCTTTGCTAGCTCGCCCAAATGGCAATAAACCGGGAATCCGGTTATTTTCTTATCCGAATGGTGTTTCACCAGAACTGGTTTAACGGTAAAAATCAACAATCTACAGTAGGCGGTTGGAAGAAGGTTCGTTAAAGGGATGCCGACGGCATAGTCAATCGGTTACGTGCTGGAAAGAAAATGTCTCTGCGCCTCTCCCCAGGGCGCGCTCTCTGCCCTGTTGGCTACTTGCCAATTTGTTGATCGGGGGGATCGAGTTTCAAAAAATCTGATGTTTTCTCTGGTCACGCCAATCCTAATTTGACGAACCGCAAATCCAATTGTTCCGTATACTTGTCACGTATGCTATTTTTGCACGAAAGGTCCTTTCGTGCACAAATAGCATGTTTCTTTCTAGATGCAATTTGAGCCAGCCAGACGCTGAGAGACCGATTTGGTTAGTCCAATTTGTAATACTTTTTAATATTAATTAAATTACTATGCGATCTGTTTTTTAAAGGGTGTCGGACACCTGAAAAAAACTAGTATATAAATCAAAGATGGCGAGCAATATTTAGTCGCCATGCTCTTAATCAAGATATCCTTTCCAGTTTCGCGAAAAAACATGTTTTGGCCACAATAGATCCCAGGTGGGAGATAAATTTCCCAATTGTGCCTTTTCATGCATCGGCTATATACTTTTGAAATAAATTTGAGCGGAATCGAATGGCATTTCTTTTTTAAGGGAGCGGGGCACCTACAAATAGCCGAAGAAAACTTACAGAACGTAGGAGATCACTCCGACGGTCCACATGTCCGTGGCCAGGCCGACGGGCTGGTAGTTGACCACCTCGGGCGCGCAGAATTCCGGCGTGCCGAAGAGCAGCTTCACGCCGCGCTTCGGGTCCAGCTTCCGGGCAAGCCCAAAGTCGATGATCTTGATGTCGGTGCTGCCCTTCGCCTGGAATTTTAAGCGTACTTTCATACATTATGATTCAAATCTTAAATCACTCATTTTGAATTTTCAAAAACGTTGTATTTATGCGTAAAAGTTTTTCGCATCATAACCTTCGCAAGATTAAAAGCCTAAGCCTGAAATTCTGTGCTCAAGCTTTTTGAATCATATATTTTTCCAAAAACAATGCATTAGAAAACTTCGTCATAAACTTTTTAACAAAAAATCGTGTTTCAAATTATTGTGATGTGATGATTCAGCCAAAGATAAAAAGAAGCATTTTTTGGAGCTTAAAAATATATGTTTCAAATTTTTCCCTTGTTCGGCTCTGTACCACCAAACCAATGTACGGCATGTTGCTAGTTTTAAATAAAACGAGTCGCAAACCTCTAAAAGATCTAAAATATATGTTCCAATCTTTTCCATTGTTCAGCTTAACTTCGAAAATAATTAGATGAGATGATGAGAGATTATAACGATTATGATAATAAGTTATTTTTGGCGTCAGAAATTGAGCCTAAAAAGTAAAAAATCTAAGTAAGGTTAAATTAAATGTATATGTTTCAACATTTTCCGTTGTTTGACGGGTTCATCCAGGCTAATTTGGGTGTATTTTCTCAGTGCAGTAAAATAAAATATATCTACGAAAGGAATTAAAAATGAAAAAGTAGCCCCAAAATAATTTATGTTTTTGCATTCCAAACCAACCTTTAGCAAAATATTCTCAGGCTTCAGGTCGAGGTGGACAATGTTCTTCTGGTGCATATGCTGCAGGCCGAGCAGGATTTGATGCATGTAGTCGCGAACCTGGATAAAATGTTTTAGCATCTATTTCTCGTTGTAATAAAATCGCGTTTAAATCTAGCTATATAGCATCGGGTAGCGCAAAAAAAGTTCTGAACGAGCATGAATTTCTAAAGAAGAGTCAAAAAAGCGTAATCGTCAAGGTATGAAGCCGTAGTAATTTACACAAACCAACGTCAAGTCCGATTTCGATTGAAACATGCGAAATTGTCTTGGGCGGTTCAGTCAAAAATCTGTTTATTAAAGGCTATCTCGACTGGAATTTAGCTCTTTGCTATCTACGCCACGCGCAAACGCCAAAATCCCGACAACCGAAATCCCGACATCCGAGGCCCCGGCTTATTTTTGAAGCGAGGTGTCATTGAAAAAATTTTCTATCGGTATTTTCACTTTCGCGACTTTTGCCGGTCGGTATTTTGACTCTCGTTATTTTCCCATCATAACCGAAATTCCTAGCGGGAGTCAGTGAGAAAATCGGAAAAGCCGAAAATTTCCACTACCACGGCGCCGTAAAATAATGTTTTGGTAAAATGGGACGTTCAACGCGTGAAAATGCTGATTAATGAGTGAATGTCGGATGGCTCTTATTCAACTTTTCTTTTATGGCGCTTGATTGTGCGGTTTCTTTAAACGTAGCATGGCTCCGAAATCGAGCGGTCGACGTCTTAAGTTAAGAATTTGGCTAGTTGCTTCGGGGGCCCTTTAAAAATGGAAAATTGGGCGATTTTTGACCTGGGAGACACCCGAAACCACAAATATTAAGATTTTTGGCTTCCCGGTCCCTTTAAATTAAAAATGCATAAAGAGCATTCGTTCCCGGCCCCCTTAACATCAAAAAGTTATAGATTTTTGGCTTCCATGCCCCTTTAAAATGTGATACCTCGGGCTCGGACATGAGCGAGTCGTCCTCCATGATCTTGTCGAAAAGCTCGCCGCCCGAGACAAACTCCTCGATGAGACACATCTCGTTCCCGAGGTCGAATGCCTCATGCAGATGCAGCAGCTTTTCATGGTGCAACTGGTTCATCATGTCCATCTCGTGCAGCACGTTCTCTTTCTTCACTCCCGGACGAACCTAAAATTGATTAATTTTTTTTATGAAAAACTTATTATTTTACGAAACAACGAAATTCAATATTAATATAGGATTTAATTTCGTAATAGGAAACAATTAATAGTGCTTGAAAAAATGTTTGCGAAATATTGCATTTCACGAAACATTTTATCGCAAAAAATTCAAAAGAGTTCAGCTTTTTCCGCGAACCTGCACGAATTTATTAATTTTGAATAGCTATTGAAAGAATTATTATTTTACGATACATGTAATTCAAAAAATTCTGCCAATAGACCAGACTTTTTAGTCGAATCCTTCTCCCCTTTTTTTACGAATTGAATTGCATTTTACAACTTGCAAGCCGCATAGCCACATTTTATTGCTTGCAAGAATAGGTTTCCAGAATCGTGTTTCACGAAACATTTTACATAAAAATGGAAAATTAATGGTACTGCTGACTGGATTAATTTTTAGCGGCTTCCGCGATCACCTGTGTTTTGCGAAACATGCATTTAAAAAATACTAACAATATAGGGAGTCCTAAACCCCGCCCCGTTCTAGCGGTCCGCAGTCATGTCCGATTTTTACGATTTTGGTATCTTTCGAAAGCTCTCGCCGAGCTCACCTGGACCATTTTAGCGGCCCACGTCTTGCCGGTTGCGCGTTCGATGGCACGGTATACGGTACCGTAGGCCCCACGGCCGAGCTCCTCGCAGATGATGTACTGGAAATAGAGTGTTTTAAAGCACGTCAACTAAGCCTTGTATTAATCAAATTTAATCGTAGAAACAGCTTTTTCAAAGGAGGAATTTTGCGTCAAGGAAATCTTGAGTGGTATGGGATAAATTTTGTCCTACCTTTGCCTGCAAGTCGTTGGGGATACGGCTGAGGTCGACGGTCTTGTGCAATTCGGCCTCACCCACGGTGGTGTCCAGCTTTTCGTAGTCAACGGCTTCGGGCTAAAAATTCGGGAATTAAAGGAGTTTTTGCAAAAAAAATATATTTCAACCATTTTCTGGGGCCGATACTCTCTGTAATTGGTAATTCCGCCAACTCTCCGTTTGGAAATTCTGTCCAATTCAATTCCTCAAAGCGTTTCTGCTAGCCTGCCCCCTCCCCCTCTCTCTCATCCCAAATGATCTCTGCTAGCCTGCCCCTCCCCCTCTCTCTCATCCCAAATGATCTCTGCTAGCCTGCCCCCTCCCCCCTCTCTCTCATCCCAAATGATCTCTGCTAGCCTGCCCCCTCCCCCTCTCTCTCCTCCCAAATGATCTCTGCTAGCCTGCCCCTCCCCCTCTCTCTCATCCCAGATGATATCTGCTAGCCTACCTGTTCCTCCTTCCTCTCCTTTGGCGGCGGGGTAACAACCTGTCTGGTGACAGATTGTACCGTAACCGGATCGGTCTCTTCTGAGGGGTCGGACTGCCCGAAGACGTTGTCGGCACGGACGCGGAAGCGGTATGTTTCTCCTGCCACCAAGTGGAAGAGGGTGGTGAATGGCTGTTTCGTCACCTCGGCCTTCGCCCAGGTCTTGTCGTTTTCCTTAGAAAAAGGTAATGTTTCAATAGTCACCTTTTTCAAAAATAAAAAGCTGTTTAGGTTATCATTATGTTTCAAAAAATTTACAGGATTTGAATTTATTGAGCGGCTTAATTACCCTTCTTCCGGGGAGCTCATGCTTTCTAACCGCCGAGTCGGGTTTTATTAATTTATTTTTATTGCGATTTAGCTACCAAGTTTAGATTTGCTTTTTTACTTTAGAAACGTTAGAATACCTTGTTACGATCAAAATTCTATTATTTGGCTGAAACACAGCAATTTTTACTATTCCGATTTTTCCGGATGATCACAATGTTTCAAAAATACAACAGCATCAGAATTTTTTTCGGCAGCGTAATTAAGCGATTTGTCCGGTGACTCATGATTTCGATAGGTAACTTTTTATTATCCACGAAATGTTTATTGCTTTCTAAATTGCAAATTTAAAATTTTAGTTCTATTTTTCTTGGCTACAAATCACAAAACCATCTGATTAATAATAGTCTTATTACCATTAAGACCGGCTATTTCATTAAATCATGTTTTTTAAATAATAGTTTCCGAAACTTACAGTCTTCATTTCCACAATATAATTCCTGATGGCCGATCCGCCGTCCTGTTTGGGGACTGCCCAGAGTAGCTTGACGGAGTCGACATTTTGGTCTTGGACGGTCGGCTTTCCTGGCGGTTCCGGGCGATCCGTCACCTAAAAATATAAGTGAATATCGCATAAATAAAAATATAGTATATTAATCTTGTGTTCTTACAAGTAAAATTTATTAAATGGATTTTTCGGCATTTTGTTGATTCAATTCGACGTTATAATCTTACTCAATTTTCGGGCCATTGCTTGTTTTTTAATGTTTCAATTTTTTCGGTAGCCGACGTGGCCAGATCATAAGTAATTGACGATGCAACTTCTTTTCCAACCCGTTTTAGAATCGCGTGGCCTTCCCTTAAAATTTTTGATTTTTTCGATCGGAAATTGCTTTTAAAGGGGTATTCAAGGCAATTTTTCGACGTTTCCACTATATTTATTCTGCGAATTTCGTTCAAGTGTTTCAAAAATTTTAAATTTGACGCAACGTAAGCCGGTACTTTTACTTTTATCAGCTCGTAATCGAGTGCGCAATTAAAAGGCGAACGCGTGCGTTGCGTGGCGCTATGCGTAAAAACTGTAGGAAATCCATAGCCAGGAAATCCATAGGCATGCCTTGCCGGCCCCTTTAAAAAGCTGGAAATGCGAACTTCAAAGGGCTGATCAATTCGGTAGTGTCAATTTGACGGGTGGCCCCCTCTTTGAGCTGATGCGCAAATATATTAGGAGGCAATTGGCGCATCGCGAATTTTGATGCCTCAGAAATTTCACAGCATCAATACATAGACTCCGTATTATTACAGTAATTCCCGGCAAAACAAGGTAACTTTTTGAAACACTTTTTTTTTCTTTGGAAAATCTTTGGCAAAGCACTGAACAGGTCAGGTTGGCTCAGTTAGCTAGCCTATTTCTTTGGATATATTTTTACAAAATGTTTAGAGATTAAGATTTTTGCGACTCTAGTTTGGTAACCATCGTTTTATGTAGTTTTTTTACTTGTTCCCTAAGAATTCGACAAGGACCACGAGCTGTAACACGCACATTTTTAGACATTTTTAAACTTGGTTAATTTCGGTTCCAGCAGGCTCTGGCATTAACCTGGTGGGTGTACCAGTTGCTGCGAAAATGTTGAAATTGCCATTTTTTTAAATCCTATCCTATAAACCGATCTTCAGAAGCCCTTTTCCGAACTTGGGTTTTATCTGCTGAAAGAGGGAAAATTATTCTCAGAACCTGTCGCTCTGAAAGGTAGATTTTCTGAAACATCAGGTTTAACGAAATTTAGTGGATGTGTATCAAAAATTCTCATTTTTTTAATGAGTTCGTGGAAAGACTATTCTATGGATTTGAACGAATCTTACCACTTAATTTCTTGAAGCATACTTTTGCAAACGTTTCTTTACATTATGCGAGCGCTGTTACGGGAACGGGAAGGACTGTATGGCTCTGGTTTTTACTCGCAATGTTATGGTTTTATTCCATAAGAAATTGGCCGGGACCGCGAGACGCAATCCACATGTTTTTAGGCGTTTTTAGACTTGATCAATTTTCAAACCAGGTTTTAATTAGATTAATTTTTTAATTAGATTATTTAACCAGGCTTAAATTAAAGTGGCGGTTCTGCTAACAGGTGCCAAAATTTTTGAAATATACTTTTTTTGCAATTGAGACAATGTGGCAACTGTAAAATGATAGCCGTATTTTTTATTGTAGCACCCACATAGGATTATCGCGAAATTCCTAATAGTTGCTAGCAACCTTACCAAAACTTGTCACAACATGTATTTATTCTGTTTGAGGCAATTGACAACGCTACGGTGCAATACTTATGCAACTCAGAACTTAACAAGAATTAACTCTGAATCATACTTTTTCCACCAATTTTTGACCTTTCTAAGGTTCTAAACTCCATTTACGATTTTCGTAACACTAATTATATATATGTATGTTTTAATAATTTAAATAGATTTTTAGGTTATCTCTCTCCAAGCCCCGCCCACTTTCCACCACGCGCAATGACGACGATCGGGTGGGTGTTTTTTTGGAGAAATGAGATTTCAAGAATATTACATCACGTCATTGCCGTCAAAAAACCATTGTTATTTGGGAACATTTTTTGTAATACTTTGATTTTTTGAGTGAAACTACGTAAAATAATCGGGTAGGCTACCAGAATCTCCTTGGGTTTGGCATAATTCCCATACAATTTTTGATTTTTTTTTGGCATTTTCCAGAACTGGGGCAGGCTAGCAAAAACGATTTAAGAAATGCAAATTTAACTTTGTAGTTGGAGCCGGCTAGCAGAGTTCTTTAGGGATTTCAAAAGTGCATTTTCCCCGCTTTTCTACTAGAAACTAGTGTCCAGGCGGGCCAATTGGGCCCCCAGAGCATTTTGCAGTGGTCTTTGGGGCCTCAATTCTTTAGAATTCGAAAAAGAACGTTTTGGCGGGGAGTTCCAGGTCAATTGTTCGAGCTTTTCTTTGATCTCTCTCTCTCTCTCTCTCTCTCTCTCTCTCTCTCTCTCTCTCGCTTTGCGGAAAATCAAAAATTATGTTCAAGCTTCAAGAATTGCTTCCGGGAACGTGTGTTTGGCAAAAAGGTCCTGCAGGGCTCTCCGTCTTTTGAAGACTCCAACGAAATCAGAATAACTTTTCAATTAATTTATTCGGGTTATAAAAGAGGGCGCCTTGGAAAAATAATGTTTCAAAAAATATGCTTTAATAGCTTTGGAAAGTTATTTTAATATCGTTGTGGTTTCGATGAGTTTCAACCATTTTAAAGCATGAATGTTTTGGTTTGCGGAGGTAATGCGAGCGTCCCATTAAGTTTCAAATTCCCCCGGATTTTTCCCGGAGCTCAAAAAACTCTCCGGATTCCTGAAAACAGCCATCTCAAAAATCACCCCTAGCACAGGGCTCGAAAAAATCAGATGTTTCAAACATCTTCCAAGATAAATATTTTCTTCGCGGAGGTAATACAGTTTTTCCTCCCATTTTCCTGATTTTCCCCATCCCTAAAAACCCTCCGGAAATGATATTCGGGGGTGGTGTCCAGCCGAGTCGGACTCGAGGCTAGCATATGGGGCAAGTCAAAATTTTCGCGCCCCACAAACGGAGGGCTTTTCCTAAGGGAATTCCGGGCGAAAAGAGCGGAAAAGACATTCCGGAAAAACGCATTTGGGTAGAAGTCGTCCAGAGGAAAGGAACGGAAAAAGGGAGGAGGCGGTGGTGGTGACAAATCCATCCACACCACCCACTCAACCGTCAACGTTCTCAAATGATCTCTGCGAGCCTGCCCCCCTCTCAATCCTAAATTTTCTCTGCTAGCCTGCCCCACCCCTCTCTCTCATCCCAAATGATCTCTGCTAGCCTGCCCCCTCCCCCCTCATCATCCCAAATGATCTCTGCTAGCCTGCCCCCTCCCCCTCTCTCTCATCCCAAATGATCTCTGCTAGCCTGCCCCCTCCCCCTCTCTCTCATCCCAAATGATCTCTGCTAGCCTGCCCCCTCCCCCTCTCTCTCATCCCAAATGATCTCTGCTAGCCTGCCCCTCCCCCTCTCTCTCATCCCAAATGATCTCTGCTAGCCTGCCCCCTCCCCCTCTCTCTCATCCCAAATGATCTCTGCTAGCCTGCCCCCTCCTCCTCTCTCTCATCCCAAATGATCTCTGCTAGCCTGCCCCCTCCCCCCTCTCTCTCATCCCAAATGATCTCTGTTACCCTGCCCACGACAGGGATGCCCTCCGATTTTTAGGAGTTTTGACCAGGTTTCTTGATCGAATTAGTTTGATAATTTTACACCAATCTATAGAATTTTCTGAAACCCATTAATTTTGAAAAATATGTTGCAAAACTAAGCAGGCATCTGTACAAGCCGCTCCCTTCAATATGATGTAGGCTTTTGACATTGCTGATTTCCAAGTATAAAATATAGAAAAAATACCTGAATTCCGATGGCGTACTTGTCCTCGCCGCAGCGGTTGCGGACGCGGCAGGTAAATTCACCGCGGTGGGCGATCTCGATTTTCTGGATGGTTAGGCAGGTATTGAGGCCCGAAGTTTCGATCTGGAATTAAGGCGCATTAATGAAAGTGTATATAAGAACTTGTTTTCATTATACTTCGGTATATTGTGGCTAAAAGGCTAACGAAGCGCCCAATAAGTCCTTTCGATACAATTTTCTTACCGTGATTGGACGAAAAACATTTTTTCCAGCGCGTTCAGGTTTTACAGAAAGAGCTTTTTCTAAAGCATCGCTGCTAGCCTGACTGGCTCGAGAAATTGCAAGTTTCACCATGATTTAGATAGTCGAAAAATTAGCTAGCTGGAATACACCGCTGCCAGGATAGCACAGACGAAAAAAACTCTGCTAGCCCTCTTTTTCGGGGCTCCGAATTTTCTCAAGGAATCTCTGCTAGCCTGCCCTCCTCTCGGGGTCCGTCCATTTCCTCAAACAATCTCTGCTAGCCTGCCCTCCTTTGGGATTTGAATTTCCACTAATAATCTCTGCGTCAATTAATCCTCAATCCTAGGTGTCACTCCCCCTTTAAAAACCCAAAAAACGCGTTCTTACCTTGAACTTGGCGCCGTCGGCGATCGTCTTCCCCTGGTTGTCGATCCATTCGACTTCCGGTACGGGGCGGCCTGCAAAAATAGAAATTGTATTCTATAGTCCGGAATTTTTTGCTGTGAATGATTAATACGATTCATGCACGTTAGTCTCGTTAATTTTTTGAAACACTATTTTTTTGATTTTTTGGAGTTTTATCGTGCTCAGTCGCCGCAACATAATTCGTGTGATTTGTTTTCACCCATTTCTGTATAATTAAATTGATGTAATTTACATGTTATTATAGAAATTTTTTAGGAAATTTAATGGTCCTGGTATTGCTTTTTTTGCTGGATTTTCGGCAAAGATTTTTATGTTTGCCCTTTGCAGATTTCTAGCTGCGGTTTTTCAAGACTCGATTTTTTTACCATAGGAAGACGGCCCAATTGTCGCCATACAACACCAAATTTAGTCTTTAATTTTATGGAACATATTTTTTCATACTTGGCAGTCTCTTATTTTTCGCTTCTCATATTTTTTTCTATACCTCTTCTGATGCCGACGTGGGTATAAGCGGGGTGACTTTTCAATTTTCGATTTGCACCCCGGCCAAGTGGGGGTCCTCTAGAATCTTCGAAACGCCAAAATTTAAGAATAGAGAGAGAGAGAAAGAGAGAGAGAGAGAGAGAGAGAGAGCGAGATAGAGAGAGAGCTAGAGAGAGAGAGAGAGAGAGAGGAGAGTGAGAGAGTGAGAGAGTGAGAGAAAGAGAGAGAGAGAGAGAGAGAGAGAGAGAGAGAGAGAGGGAGAGAGAGAGAGGAGAGAGGGAGAGATAGAGAGAACCCCTCAAACCCCATGCAATTCTGTGGGTATTCCGGGGAACACCTATAGACGCTGCTCGGGACAGGGGGGGGGGGCTGACGAGCGCACCGGGACCCCCCAAATTGGGGACTTTTCGCCGAGGGGCCCAACGAGAGGAAAACCCGCTGCCTTAAATGCCGCCCCGGGGGCCAGCAGCAGCATCGTGGGAAATTTGGCTGGAACTGGAATTTTTTTAGGGCGACTGAAGGCTAGAATTCAGGGGTTCTTCGAAATGAGGAAGTGAACGAGGCAACATTCAGGATTGCCAGTTATTGGCTAGTTTAAGAAACATTTGTACTAAAAAATGTGTTTCGAAAATTTCTAAAAAGCCACGATTTTCCGGGTTTTTAATTTTGGACGTTCATGGAGTAGATTTTTGTTCATCGAAGCAACAAATTCGTTTTTGCGTTTAACGGGCATTCTCCAATGATGAACAGAAAGAAGCAAAATTAAGAATCCCGAGCTACTGATTCGTTCAGGCAAAATTTGAAGCAAAAAGTCCAAAATTTTTTCGCTTTGCGTTGAAATGATGTAGTAATTGTTCGTTCACCTAATTAACTCAAATAACCGTTAAAGTTTCAGCTTCTACTTCTTAGAAAAAGCAACGAATAAACAATGTTTCGAACATTATTAAAAGAAAAATGTTTTTCTGTTCTTTTAATTCATTTCAAATCTGGTTCTTGAGCTACTCAAACCGGGAAGCTAAAGCGGCAGCTTTTGGTCCATAAAAAATCAGGCAAAGTGCTTCAAAAAATTCTTAAAAGTAGCAAAATTTTCTTGGATTTGGATTACGCAACCTCAGCCTGCTTCTCACTTAAACCCTTCGTCTCTCCATTTTCCGTAACTTCGCTTTAAAAAATGAGTTTCGAAAATTTTTCAAAGTCGCGAAATTTCGAGCTCGCCAATCGCACAGCAAATGTTGTAAACGTACCTCGCAATTTCTGCTTCTCCTTGGCTTAGGCTTACTTGCCGTAAATAAAACAGGCCTAAGTTTTGGAACCGCACTTTCTATGTTTCAACAATTTTCAAAACAAGATTTTTAAGGCGCTTGAATACCCTAACAACATCAATTAACTTCCATATTTGATTTTACCATTTTGTAATTTTTAGCAGTATCAGTAGCAGGCTTGCTACGAGCTTTTAATAGGTATTTCCAAGATGAAGCCAAGCTCGTTGGCGCTTAGAGATTTGTAGGATTTTGTTGTTTCACATTCTCCCAGGGCTAGCTGTGGACAGCCGCTGATAAATTGTAAATCAAATAGCTGTCAAGCCAAAGTTAAGATCTTCTGTTTCTCTAGAGCACTTTACGTAACCTTTCAATGAGGTATAATTTTAGTTTAAATTTAAAGGCCGCAAAAATATTGGTTAAAAATTCTCATATTTCACAAAATTTCCAAGTGATCGCTGGGCATCTTCACTTAGTGCTTCTGTGACGGCCTATAGAAAACTAATTTAGCCCATTTTTCAAAATCCAGGTATGCTAATTTCCAAATGTTCCCATCCGAACGCCACGGTCCCTTAACCACTCGAAAAATCTAAAAATTCCAGACAGGATTCGCCCAAAATTGGCCGCCCCCGGGTCGGCGGCTTCCAAATTGAAAAATTGGCGATTGGCATGGTGTCTCTGCTTCTCTCTGACTCTCTCTGTCTCGCTCTCTCTCACTCGCTCTCGCTCCCTCGCTCTCTCGCCCGAGTTGGCTTTTGCGCTAGATTGATTCGGGGGTAGGCTTGGAAAAGACGAAAAATTCGAAGGATTCTTCTTGGGGCCCAGGCACAGGGCCCAAGAGGGCCCATTTTGGATTAGGGTCCCATCACGGCTTGAGGATGATGCTGATGATGAACATTAAATTTTCATTAGGTGACCCCGGGGGGGTTGAGGGAGGAGGGTTTTTGGCGGAACGTGGCCTCGTTTTGATGGAAATTTTTTAAGAATAATTAATTTTCGGTTAAAAATAAGTGTTCCACTAAGTTTAAGCATAAGTTTTATATTTCTTGCGTTAATCTATCGCAGGTTTCATTGTGTTTTGCGATTTACTTTTAATCGCGCCGCAGGCTTGATAGAAATTTTTGAAAAATAATTACTGTTTTGATTTATAATTAGGTTTTTTGGGCGAGGTTAAAAATAAGAGTTCCACTAAAATTAAGAATGTGGAAATTTCTCGCCCTAATATTTTACTTTTCTACCGTAAATCACAGTTCTTAGTGGCGTCTAGTTTATTTTTTAACTTTAGTTTGAAATAATAGATTGTTCACTTAATTTGTACGTCCTTCAGCCATATTTAAAGAAAAAAAATGTGTTTCGCTAAAGTTAAGCTTTAGTTTGATAATTATTGCGTTAATCCGGCTCATCCTTTTTTACTTTTTCCCACAGTAATACTTTTTTGCTTTACTTTTCGATCGCGCCCGGGATTTTGATAGAACTTTTTAGAAGTAATTAATTTTCGATTAATTCGCACGTTTCCCGTCCTGTACAAAAAATGTGTTTTCTTAAAAATAGAAAAAAATAGAAAGTGATGTACAACAATTTCTTGATTCATCTCTTTCTGGTTCAGTTATAAATAATAGATTTCAGGCGATAAGGTAATTGCTCTGCTTTTTAATACTACAATAATTTAAACTATAACGCTACCACGAAGGGGTGGGGGGGCGTTTTCTCTGTTTGTTTTGACAATCACTTCGAATTAAAAAAAACGTGTTCCATCTAGTCACACAGCACTGATGTTACTGATGCCTCTAATGGGATTTTCGTAGCGTCCCGATGTTGAAAAATACTTCAAAGATGTTTTTTTGGAGTAAATGCGCCATTTTTCGATCGGTTTTCGGTATGTGCTTCGTGAAAAATAGTCATAGTTTTCTTACTATTTTTTTCTTTGATACTTTAATACCAAAATCCTAACCTTTAAGCCAACAAACTACATTTTCGTGTCGTTTTCGCGGGGACCAGAAAGGGCAGACGCGTTAACCCGTTTTTAGATGAATTGCCGTTTGGACGGGCCGTTTGGCCCAAATGCCCCCAGGCGGTGCCCCCGGAAAACATCAACAAATATATCCAGCCCTGGAGCTTGAAACGTGGCTATAATTCATCTGAGATTTTGGAGGGGTGAACAGATTTTCGGAGATCACGAAGGGATCAAGTGGCCTTTTTACCCGACGCGGAATTTCCTAAGGAATCTTTGCTAGCATGTAGTAGTCCAAACGCCATTAATGCGGCTTAACCGAGTCTCAATACCAAGATGATCGAAACATTTTTGTACAAAAAAACCTAAATTGTTCCATAAATTTAAACGATTTTTCTCATGTAGTTTAAATGACCTCTGCTAGCCTGCCTTCCTCTATATGAATTTTCCTAAAGAATCTCTGCTAGCTAGCATTGTCATGAGAAAATTAAAGCACTAGCCAGCGCCCAGAATACCAAAAAAACCGAAATATCTTTATTTTTCGCAAAAAATGTTTGAGAAAATCTTATTGATTAACGCGCAAATGATTCCGAAGTTCCAGGCCCGTTTTTTAAGTCCGTCTGTCATCTGCTCTTTCCCAATTTCGCAAGGGATCGCTGCTAGACTGCCCATTTCATCGAATACAAAAATGATTACACGTTAACAACAGTATCCAAGATTAGTGCCTCGGCTCCGACCCTCAACCCCCGGGTTTTTGAAACATGTTTTAGGCAACGCGTTTTGGGGAATTTCCTTGTTTGGGTTTGAAACCTTCCCCGATTCTTTGAGCAGCCCAGGAGCATGACTAATCTGATTTGGAGAATATCGACGGCTTATAAACGCTAGCCATTAATGTATCAAATATCGCCCTGAACAGTAATAATTGGGCACTATTTTGCAAAAAATGTTTCACGAAATTCCATTGCTAGGTTGCCAGTTTTGGTATAATTCAGGTTGAGTATTGAGTGTCTTTAATATTGATCTTATTTTATTAATGCATATTTTTTATGTTTTGTAAGGTTCCCTTAGCTTTGACCGTAGAAAATTAGACATTCCCAGTTTCCAAAGACCAACCAGGCCCAGCTGAGCAAAAAAATGTTTTGCGTTTCTGCCCTATTCGGGTGCCGGGGTCGGGCCGACTTTTTGAGGTGCGAATTTTCTTCTCCACGCACTGAAGGAGGGGGATCTTCAGAAGGAGGGCGAGAGAGAGAGAGAGGGAGAGAGAGAGAGAATAAAAAAGAGGGGGATTTCCCCCCTCGTTCTTTCCTCATCTTTTCATCGTCTTCTTCTTTCTCGTCCTCCTCTTCTTCTCTTTCTCCAGCTCGAGCTCCCCCATCCTTTAGCCCCGCCCCCTTTTTTCTGGGCGTGTGCCCCCGGGGCACACTGCCAACTACCGTCCCCCCGTCCCGAACGAATGTCCCCATTTTTGGGCAAATAAACCTAATTAAATTGGATGTTTCGCGAAATATCGATTTTTGAGTGCAGTTGGAACGGCTATTGCCCCCTTTTTTGTTGTGTTCTTATGGCTTTTTCCTGATTCATTTTAAGGGTGTTTGCGATAACTTTTGAAAACGCTATTAGCCAAGTTATTCAATTAATTGATGGTTTTGTTTTCTTTATTTTACTGATCCAAAATAAATGCTGATTTTTGGTTTGGGTAG